CCCAGGTAGGCGGCGTGCGCTGGGGGCCGGGCGGGGCTCGGGGGGCTGCCCTGGCCGCTTCTGCCTCTCGGCCACCTCTGCTCACCTCCTGCTCTCTCCCCTGCCGCCGCCTCCCGCGCTCAGTGGGAGATGGATGACATGGCCGAATACGTAAGTAGCGCCCGCTGCGCCGTGCTCGTGTGTTCTTGCGGGCTGTGCTGTGCCGTGACTCCCCGCCCTGCACGCCCCTCATCAAAGGGTCTCCTCCCTTGGACCCTGGACATGCCCGCGGTGATCTCTTGGAGCCTGTGACCTCCGTCTTTGTATCGGGCCAATAGGCACAGAAGCCGTAGCACCTGCTGGGGGACGTCCCCAAGGCAAGGCCGAGGCCGCCACCTCCCATTCCTGCCCCCAAGCCCCACACACGCCGGCCTCGCTCCCCTCCTTAGAAACTCCCCCCCCAGTCTTAATCTCCCCAACTTTGTCTGGCCTTCCCACCGCCTCGAGCGCTGTCCACCCTGCAGTCACCCCTGTGGGACCCAGGCCCACAGATAGGTCAGAACAGGGTCATTTTCAAAGCAGCCTGACTGACCCTTTTATCACTAGCCTGATCCTGGAACGTTCTCTCTGGCCGAAGTGTAAGCTTCATTCCGACTCTCGAGGCGAGAGCGGCCAGTGGCCAGGCTGGGAAGGAGGCTGTGGTGCCCCAGTTCTCAGAGGAGCTTCCGGCCCCCCGGAGCCTTCCTGAACTAGGGCCCGATTGCCACCTGCCTTTGGGCAGGTTGCCGCCTCTCTCTGGACGTCTTTCTTTCTGTCCTTCGCAAACGGGCCACGGGCCTCCTAAGAGCCTCCGTCTCCCGGCTTGTGTGTCCTCCAGTGTCCGGACGCTGAACGGACCCCAGCTCCACCTGCTCCCATCTGACTCTGCCTCTTCTCCACCTGAGTGAAGGAGCAAAGTCCCCACCCGCTCCCCAGGGGTGACTGAAAGTGAGGTTCAGGGGCAGGAGACCCTCTAGAGGTTCAAGCATCTCTGCCCGCTCCCTGTGCTCCCGACCCAGAGCCGCCCCCAGCTCCCAGGCATGCCAGACCGTGTTTGTGGGTGCGCATGCAGCGTGCGGGGGACACGGGCGTGCGTGGCTCTGTGAGGGGGTACGCGGGGCGTGTGTGCAGGCCAGGCGCCGTCCGAGCGCCTCCTGTGTGCCGGGCCCCGCGCCCGTGGCTGAGCCAGACCTGGGTCTGCTTGCCCAGTCTGGGTGGGGGGAGCGTTCATTGGCACAAGACGCAGATGATCGCCTGTTGGAGCTCAGGGTGGTGGGGGCACACAGTGGTAAAGATGTTTACCAGTCTGCGCCGGTGGCGGGGTGAGGGCCGCCCCGATTTCTGCATTTGGCCATCCCAGGGTGTAAGGAATGCCGCCGTGCCAGTCTCAGCCGCCTTGTTGGTGAAATAGTCCTGACTGGATGTTTGTGTTCCTGTCATACCGAACCAAGGCAGAAAACTCCCAGAACTTAGACAGTAGTAAATGTGGCGAGATAGTCGGGAAGGGGTGTGTGTTCACCCACGGCTTTGGCTGCTACTGCTCAGAGTGTGAGCGTATGTCATGCATAGTAAGGCCCGTTTAACAACTGGCCCGAAAATTCCCGAGTTTTACTATCAACTCTTGGAAGCCGGCTTAGGGGTGCTGTCGCGGTAGAGGACCCAGCACGTGCAAAGGGCCTGGGGCAGGACCGTGCCCAGCACGTGGGAAGAGCAGTGAGCAGGCCTCTGTAACGGAAACACAGTGGGCACGGGGGAGGGCGGGCAGAGGTGAGGCGGGAGGGCGGGCAGTGCACGGACAGCTCGTGCGGTGCCTTGCAGGCATGCGGGAGAGGACTCGGGCTCTGACCCGCACGACGGCGGTCAGAAGAGAGGGGAGCCCTGGCTGGATGCTCACAGTGCTCCAGCGGGAAGACAGACCGCGGCAGGCAGGGGCGCCAGGGCGGGCTGACGGCGCTGGCCGGGCTGTGTGGCCACCTCAGCGTGGGCCCGTGCATGCAGGGCCGTGCATGAGCCTGGGGAGCTCGTCCGCCAGAGGCCCAGACCGCGTCTGCCTTGCTTGAACCCAGCACGCGAGGAGGGTGGGCAGGACGGGTCCGGCCGGGTGGCCCCCCTGACCCCGGCGCCTGCCCACAGGAGATGGTCATCACCAACCTGCAGCCTGAGACGGCCTACTCCGTCACGGTAGCCGCCTACACCATGAAAGGCGATGGTGCGCGCAGCAAACCCAAGGTGGTCGTGACCAAGGGAGCAGGTATGAGCCCCGTCCCCGTGGGTCCTCGGCCCTCAGAGCTCCCCTCAGTGCTTACGCCCATGTGGGGAGCGGGTGTTCAGGGAGGAGGGTCAGTGAGAGCGGAGGTGCCAGCGCTGCTCATGGCGACCCAGTGTCCAGCCCCTCACGTTACCCTCCCTGCCCGCTCAGTGGTCAGCCCCCAACCCCCTGCCCTCTGGCCTTCACGCTTCTATTTCTGCTGCCCGGATGCCCTGCCCCGGCGCCCGCTCATCTCACACTTTCAGTCTTTGCTCACGCTGCCCCGCTCCAGGAAGACCTCCCCACCCGCCCACCCGCACGC